GGCTAGACTAACAAATAAACAGACATCACCAGAGCAAAATATTCCGTTACAGTATAGTAGTAATGATTTTATGAACTACTTCAATAAGAAAATAGAAAACATCCGAGACACAATTGTAAATGTACAATCCTCTATGGTGTCTTATGATTCAGCCTCGATTATGGCCCCTCAAGAACAACTACACCGCTTTACAACTATAGGACAGGAAGAGCTAAATAAACTTATCATTGCATCTAAACCAACAACATGTTTATTAGATCCAATACCAACTAAATTTCTGAAAGAAGTGTTACCTGTAGTGGAAGAGCCTCTTCTTAATATTATTAACTCGTCTTTATCTTTAGGTCATGTTCCAAAAATATTCAAGCTGGCAGTAATAAAACCTCTCATTAAGAAACCGCAATTAGATCCAAATAACTTAGCAAATTACAGACCGATTTCAAATCTTTCATTTATGTCTAAAATACTAGAAAAGACTGTGTCCGCTCAATTGTGCTCTTTCATGCAAGCAAATGAGATATATGAAAAATTTCAGTCAGGATTCAGACCGCATCATAGCACAGAAACTGCGCTAGTTAAAATTACAAATGATTTACTTTTAGCTTCTGACCAAGGCTGTATCTCAATATTAGTTCTACTCGATCTTAGTGCTGCGTTTGACACTATAGATCATAAAATACTCTTGGATCGACTACAAAACTACACTGGTGTTCAGGGACAGGCATTAAGCTGGTTCAGATCGTATTTATCAGACCGTTACCATTTTGTTTGTTTAAATGGGGAAAATTCGAAGATAACGTCAGTAGACTATGGAGTGCCGCAAGGATCGGTGTTAGGCCCTCTGCTATTCTCAATATATATGCTGCCACTTGGTAATATTATAAGAAAACATGGAATTAATTTCCACTGTTATGCTGATGACACTCAATTATATATTTCATCACGACCAGATGAAAACACTAACTCATCAAAATTGACAGTGTCTTAAAGATATAAAATGCTGGATGACGTGTAATTTCCTGCTATTAAATCCAGATAAAACGGAGGTATTACTTGTTGGTCCAAAAAACTATCCACAAAACCACTTACAATACAACTTTAATATAGAAGGATGTCCTGTTACTTTATCCTCTACGGTAAAAGACCTGGGAGTTATACTAGACCGCAACTTGTCTTTTGAAAATCATATTTCATATGTTACAAGAACAGCCTTTTTCCATCTTAGAAACATTGCTAAATTACGTAACATGCTATCTGTTTCCGATGCAGAAAAGTTAGTTCATGCATTCATGACCTCGAGACTATATTACTGTAATGCTTTATTAGCTGGTTGTCCTGCATCCTCAATAAACAAGCTACAGTTAGTGCAAAATGCAGCCGCTAGAGTTCTTACTAGGTCAAGAAAATATGATCATATAACACCGATTTTATCATCTCTACACTGGTTACCTATCAAGTCCCGTATCAATTACAAAGTACTATTACTGACCTATAAAGCCCTAAATGGTTTGGCTCCTGTGTATTTAATGGACCTTCTATCGCCCTACAATCCATCGCGTTCTTTAAGATCACTAAATTCGAGGCTTCTGGTCATTCCTAGGATATCGAAGTCCACTAAAGGAGGGAGGGCGTTCTCACATTTAGCTCCTAAACTCTGGAATAGCCTTCCTGATATTGTTCGAGGCTCTGACTCGCTGTCCCAGTTTAAAACTAGATTAAAGACGCATCTTTTTAGCCAAGCATTTACATAATGCTTACCTTTTATAATACTGCTGAATCAGATCAAATGCATTTAATACTATAAAACTTGAAGAGACTGTAGGTTATCTGTATAGGTTGCATAGTATTTGCAGTCATTACGTTCCTGTGTATATTGCGTGAATGACGGGTGGTTGGGCAGATATTGTGTTGCGGTAGGTAGTATGCCATACGGAACCGTTGTCCACTGAAACTGCCTATTCACGCACCAGTGGGGCTCGACAGCCTTAGTCAACGGGTTGGCGCGTATGGTTGGGCTGCGGAGAGATTGTGAGATTGTGGTTAGGTCTCAGCAGCAGGAGGGACGTAGAGGTCAGTAAGCTGGGCTGAGTTGAGTGGGGGACGGAGGGGGGTGACACTGGGACGCAAGAGTCACTGTCTTCATGTTTTGTCTTTTACGCCTGTGTTATGGAAATCATCATTATGAACAGCAGCTACGCTAATTATTTTCCCTTTGCTTTTCTGCTGTTATCTCGGGACGCGAGTCCCGAGAAAATGGCGTTCGTCAGCTCCAGTTTGTATCCAGCCTCTCACGGAGACTTCAGATGCTCCAATCACAAAGCCTATGAAGTGACGACTCAACACGGGCGATATGGACTCTCTATGGTGGACGGCACTGATCCTCAACAACTCGTCTTAAGACCGGCGTGATTACTTGGACTTCCAAAAAATACTCTAAATGTTCCGATCCAATCTGACTTGTAATGCTGCCCGAATCATGCACTGTTCCTTCGTTGGCCAGAGGAGAACTGGCCCCCCGACTGAGTCTGGTTTCTCCCAAGGTTTTTTTCTCCATTCTGTCCCTGATGGAGTTTGGGTTCCTCCACTGTTGCCTTGGCTTTTGGCTTGCTTAGTTGGGGACATTTAATATTCAATAATATTATTGATCTGCCTTACTTAAGGTGGACGTTGACGCAATTTCTTTTAGAAACAAACTTTGTTATATTGTTTTCATGTTATCACTGTGAAGCGCTTTGATACAATCTGTATTGTAAAAAGCGCTATATAAATAAAGGTGACTTGACTTGACAACACGGGCACAACACGGGCACAACACGGGCACAACACGGGCACAACACGGGCACAACACTCGCACAACACGGGCACAACACTCGCACAACACGGGCACAACACGGGCACAACACGGGCACAACACTCGCACAACACTCGCACAACACGGGCACAACACGGGCACAACACGGGCACAACACTCGCACAACACTCGCACAACACGCGCACAACACTCGCACAACAGGCGCACAACACGCGCACAACACTCGCACAACACTCGCACAACACTCGCACAACACTCGCACAACACGCGCACAACACCCGCACAACACGCGCACAACACCCGCACAACACTCGCACTACACTCGCACAACACGGGCACAACACTCGCACAACACCCGCACAACACGCGCACAACACCCGCACAACACCCGCACAACACTCGCACAACACGCGCACAACACGCGCACAACACGCGCACAACACCCGCACAACACGGGCACAACACGGGCACAACACGGGCACAACACTCGCACAACACGGGCACAACACGGGCACAACACGGGCACAACACTCGCACAACACGGGCACAACACTCGCACAACACGGGCACAACACGGGCACAACACTCGCACAACACTCGCACAACACCCGCACAACACCCGCACAACACGCGCACAACACCTGCACAACACTCGCACTACACTCGCACAACACGCGCACAACACTCGCACAACACGCGCACAACACTCGCACAACACGCGCACAACACGCGCACAACACTCGCACAACACTCGCACAACACTCGCACAACACGGGCACAACACCCGCACAACACGCGCACAACACCCGCACAACACGCGCACAACACCCGCACAACACTCGCACTACACTCGCACAACACGGGCACAACACTCGCACAACACCCGCACAACACGCGCACAACACTCGCACAACACCCGCACAACACTCGCACAACACGCGCACAACACGCGCACAACACCCGCACAACACGCGCACAACACGCGCACAACACGCGCACAACACGCGCACAACACTTGCACAACACTCGCACAACACGGGCACAACACGGGCACAACACTCGCACAACACCCGCACAACACGCGCACAACACGCGCACAACACTCGCACAACACCCGCACAACACTCGCACAACACTCGCACAACACTCGCACAACACGGGCACAACACTCGCACAACACGCGCACAACACGGGCACAACACTCGCACAACACGCGCACAACACTCGCACAACACCCGCACAACACGCGCACAACACTCGCACAACACGGGCACAACACCCGCACAACACGGGCACAACACTCGCACAACACACGCACAACACCCGCACAACACTAGCAACAACACTCGCACTACACTCGCACAACACGCGCACAACACTCGCACAACAGGCGCACTACACTCGCACAACACGCGCACAACACTCGCACAACACCCGCACAACACGCGCACAACACCCGCACAACACGGGCACAACACTCGCACAACACGCGCACAACACTCGCACAACACCCGCACAACACGCGCACAACACCCGCACAACACGCGCACAACACTCGCACAACACTCGCACAACACTCGCACAACACGCGCACAACACTCGCACAACACGCGCACAACACTCGCACAACACCCGCACAACACTCGCACAACACGCGCACAACACGCGCACAACACTCGCACAACACGCGCACAACACGGGCACAGGCCCGATACTAGTGCGCGCACTCGCACAACACTCGCACAACACCCGCACAACACTCGCACAACACTCGCACAACACGCGCACAACACTCGCACAACACTCGCACAACACGCGCACAACACGGGCACAACACTCGCACAACACGCGCACAACACTCGCACAACACGCGCACAACACGCGCACAACACGCGCACAACACTCGCACAACACCCGCACAACACTCGCACAACACGCGCACAACACGCGCACAACACGGGCACAACACTCGCACAACACGCGCACAACACGGGCACAACACTCGCACAACACTCGCACAACACGCGCACAACACGCGCACAACACGCGCACAACACGCGCACAACACGGGCACAACACTCGCACAACACGCGCACAACACGCGCACAACACCCGCACAACACTCGCACAACACCCGCACAACACTCGCACAACACGCCCACAACACGGGCACAGGCCCGATACTCACTGGGCACGGCTAGCAGAGCCACGTAAGACTTGAGTTTGTGGAAGACGGCCGAGAGCTTCTTCATGTCGTTCTGTAGCTGCTGGTTCCTGGCCGTCAGCGCCGCCGTGCAGAGAGAAGCGTCGCACTCCTCCTCCAGACTGCACACACACACACGTCTGGTTCACTATCACCGTGGGAACTCTCCATAAACGTTATGGTGTTTATACTGTACAGCTGAGGCTCTCGTCACACATCAGGTTCATTGACAGCAACACTAGCGCTCATGACCCCTGTGACCCCCGTGACCCCTGACCTCTTGAGCTGGTACGGCAGGATCTTCTGCAGGAAGCTGCTGTAGGCGGAGAAGGATCTGGAGAAGTCCTGCAGTTTGGCCAGAGTTTCCTACAGAAGTAACACACACATGTGGATGATGATGTCAGAGACGCAAGTGTGAGCCGACGACAGTGATGGCGTCCTCTGTGATGCTCTGGTGTAGCTGTGTGTGTGTGTGTGTGTGTGTGTGTGTGTGTGTGTGTGTGTGTGTGTGTGTGTGTGTGAGTGTGTGTGTGTGTGTGTGTGTGTGTGTGTGAGTGTGTGTGAGTGAGTGTGTGAGTGACAGTGTGTGAGTGACAGTGTGTGAGTGACAGTGTGTGAGTGACAGTGTGTGAGTGTGTGTGAGAGTGTCTCTCTCTAGCCAGGACAGTGATGGCGTCCTCTGTGATGCTCTGGTGTAGCTGTGTGTGTGTGTGTGTGTGTGTGTGTGTGTGTGTGTGTGTGTGTGTGTGTGTGTGTGTGTGTGTGTGTGTGTGTGTGTGTGAGTGACAGTGTGTGAGTGACAGTGTGTGAGTGACAGTGTGTGAGTGAGTGAGTGACAGTGTGTGAGTGACAGTGTGTGAGTGACAGTGTGTGAGTGACAGTGTGTGAGTGTGTGTGAGAGTGTCTCTCTCTAGCCAGGACAGTGATGGCGTCCTCTGTGATGCTCTGGTGTAGCTGTGTGTGTGTGTGTGTGTGTGTGTGTGTGTGTGTGTGTGTGTGTGTGTGTGAGTGACAGTGTGTGAGTGACAGTGTGTGAGTGACAGTGTGTGAGTGAGTGAGTGACAGTGTGTGAGTGACAGTGTGTGAGTGACAGTGTGTGAGTGACAGTGTGTGAGTGTGTGTGAGAGTGTCTCTCTCTAGCCAGGACAGTGATGGCGTCCTCTGTGATGCTCTGGTGTAGCTGTGTGTGTGTGTGTGTGTGTGTGTGTGTGTGTGTGTGTGTGTGTGTGTGTGTGAGTGAGTGTGTGAGTGACAGTGTGTGAGTGACAGTGTGTGAGTGACAGTGTGTGAGTGAGTGAGTGACAGTGTGTGAGTGACAGTGTGTGAGTGACAGTGTGTGAGTGACAGTGTGTGAGTGACAGTGTGTGAGTGACAGTGTGTGAGTGACAGTGTGTGAGTGACAGTGTGTGAGTGTGTGTGAGAGTGTCTCTCTCTAGCCAGGACAGTGATGGCGTCCTCTGTGATGCTCTGGTGTAGCTGTGTGTGTGTGTGTGTGTGTGTGTGTGTGTGTGTGTGTGTGTGTGAGTGAGTGTGTGAGTGACAGTGTGTGAGTGACAGTGTGTGAGTGACAGTGTGTGAGTGAGTGAGTGACAGTGTGTGAGTGACAGTGTGTGAGTGACAGTGTGTGAGTGACAGTGTGTGAGTGACAGTGTGTGTCGTGACAGTGTGTGAGTGACAGTGTGTGAGTGACAGTGTGTGAGTGACAGTGTGTGAGTGACAGTGTGTGTCGTGACAGTGTGTGAGTGACAGTGTGTGAGTGACAGTGTGTGAGTGACAGTGTGTGAGTGACAGTGTGTGAGTGACAGTGTGTGTCGTGACAGTGTGTGAGTGTGTGTGAGAGTGTCTCTCTCTCACCAGGACAGTGATGGCGTCCTCTGTGATGCTCTGGTGTATCTGCAGTAAATCCTCCTCTAGTGGACGCAGGTACGACGCGTTCTCGTGCAGATACTGTGAGAA